ATTGTTGGGTATGTTAAACAAGGCCTTAGTCCGTTTTATTTATACTATTGTCACCATATTGTTGGGTATGTTAAACAAGGCCTTAGTCCGTTTTATTTATACTATTGTCACCATATTGTTGGGTATGATAAACAAGGCCTTAGTTCGTTCTATTTATAGTATTATCACCATATTGTTGGGTATGATAAACAAGGCCTTAGTTCGTTCTATTTATACTATTGTCAACATATTGTTGGGTATGTTAAACAAGGCCTTAGTCCGTTTTATTTATACTATTGTCACCATATTGTTGGGTATGTTAAACAAGGCCTTAGTCCGTGTTATTTATACTATTGTCACCATATTGTTGGGTAAATGTACTTCACCTAGTATATTTCTGACTAGAAATACAAGTAAATAAATTATTTTCATTGTTTTATCTAACACGGCCGTTCTGCAGGCTTTACATTCAAATAGTTTTAACATAATTAATTATATTTGTCATACAACATTGCTATTAGGCCTATTATATTTTAAATACTACATTCTTTATCTAGTCCCTTAAGGATTTTCAAGAATGAGAAGAATGTATAATAATAGTGTTTCAATCACACTATGTTCGCTGTATCTATAATCTACGGACTCATACTGCTAGAAACCGGGTTTCGATACCTGTGGTGGGCAGAGCACAGATAGCCGTTTCTGTAGCTTTGTGCTTAATAACAAACAACGACAACTATAATACTAATGTCGTATTATGAGTTGATTATAATCATGAGTTGCCAGCTTGTAAAAGGCGTTAATACCATAACTCTACTAGTTTTAACATAAAACTAAAATTATGTGCATACATATAAATATGATATGTAGGTGTGTGGAACACATCAACGTAGAAGGTGAAAAAAGAATTAGTTCTGAAGAGTAGTCGAACCCGGTATTCTAAATAGTGTGTAATTTTGAACAATTTTTGAAGTTTAAATGGAAAGTAAAACGAATTGCTACATTGAAAAGATCTGGAAGTTTATCTGTGAGATATATATATATCTATATATGCGTGTGATTGGTATCATTAAATTTATTTTCTACCTTTTTAATTCGTGGCATTTTTCTTCATATTGACTCCTCACTTGAGCAAGTTCGCTTCTCATCAAGGCCAAGCAAGTCTGTGCGTCCATCAAGGACATTCGTAACTGACGATTCTCCTGCACAGCATCTTCAAGCTTTGTTCGGACTTCTGAAAGGCGGCCATTTTTAGTAGTGTCGTGACTGGACTTCAGCCAAGAGTCAACCTGATAAACAATTTCACAGTGATTTTTTTTTTACAGTAATCCAACGTTCTCTAAAATAGAGGTAACCAGACTCAAGGAAGGCTTCAGCACACGCATAAATATTCTGTTTAAAGCATTCTTTTCAGAGACACATTTAGTAGTTACAATAAATGTGACAACAAAACGTGTTTATGCTCGTGTTTTTTTTGTTTTTTTAAAGAAGGTGGGGTATCTTATTAGTTTTATTGGTTATTATTTTTAGGTGAGAGTTTCACCTTGACTGAGGTCTTGCGGTGCCTCAGATTAAAAGAATTGAGAGCGTCTGCTATAAGTTAGTTATTACAACACATCCAAACATCTGCCAGGCAGGTAATCTTCCTGATACCAAAACCCAAACTGAACTGTATGATAAACACTCAGAACAACTTCTACAAATAAAACCTTTTATAGTAGTATTAGCTGAGCTTGAGCAAAAAAAAAAAAAAAAGAATAGATAAATATTACAGGAAGATAAAAATATATATACAACATTGATAAAAGTATATGTAGTGCTTGTTACATTTAATCCAATTAATTATATTTATTGGTTAGGTAACATAGGTCTATTGAGATACATGAATTAATTTATAAAACACAATATAGATCTATTGGGACACATGTGTCAAGTTATAAAACACAATATAGGTGTATTGGGACACATGAGTCAAATTATAAAACACGATGTAGGTCTATTGGGACACACGAGTTAAGTTATAAACACAATATAGTTGCACTGGGACACGTGACAAGTTATAAAACAATATAGGTGTATTTGGACACGTGTCAAATTATAAAACGCAATCTAATTCTACTGGGACACATGATTCACGTTATAAAACACAATATAGTTCTATTGGAACACATGAATCAAGTTATAAAACACAGTATAATTATATTGAGACACATGAATCAAGTTATAAAACACGATGTAGGTCTATTGGGACACATGAGTCAAGTTATAAGACACACTGAAAATATATTTTAAGTTTTGTAACAACACATTATACAGTCTTTAGTATTTGATTTATGATATCATAAATGAAGGCTAACAAGGATTCATCAAAGATATATTTTACATCACTAATTCATTGTCTTCTTTCGAGGATGTTATATGAAAGATAGAAAGGATGTGTACTTGCTGTATTGTATATTGCAAAGTGTATGAATAGAAGAAAGTAGCAGGTCATAATTATCCGCGTCCAGTCAAACTGGACGCATGTTACTAGTGGAGTGCCTCAGAGGTCAATGCTCGGGCCTTTGCTTTTTCTATTTACGTCAATGATGACTTTAAAATCTTGGTATTTCTATCTATGTTAAGATATTTCAGAATGACTTGGATCAATTGGTAAGTCGGACAGATATTTGGTAAGTTACATTTAATTATAGTAATTACAAGATAATGCATTCAGGTTATCAACATTTGGATAACATTTAATACAGATGGATACTCACTCAGCAGCGTGACTGAAGAAAAGAATTTTGGCATAGTGGTGGTCACTCAAGCTAACAAAGCAATGCTCTGTTGCTAGTAGTAAAACAAAAACTGGCTTTTAGAATTTATAGACAATTTGCTTATAAGTCAAAAGAAGTAATTATCTCCCTACACAAATCACTAGTTAGGCCTCACTTGAGATGTTGTGTACCGTTCAGTCCCCTTATCTACGAAAGAATAGTGAATTATTGACGAGGGTTCAAAGAAAGGTTACTAAGATAAAACCAGGAACGGATGGGTTATATTACAAGGGGTAAGAGGTGATCTTATTGAAGTTTAAAAGGTTATCCGGCATGTCTTTAATTGTAAGGTTGTTGGTAGAATCAATTACCTTTTCAAATAAAGTTAAATGCTCTTGAAGTTCATCCATCTCGGCATCCACCTTAAGTTTCAAAGAGCGACGTTCAGCTTCAACTTCAGCTTGGGCCTAGTACAAAATAACTTAGTACAAAACTAAATTTAGCGAATACTTTAAGTGATTGTCTAATACCTTATTCAAATCAGTAAATAGTTAGTTTTCACGTCAATAAAATATACTTAAACTAAACTCGGTGGAAGAGTTAAACATTTAGAATTTCAGTTTAAGTTCTGTAGATCAACTCCAGACGTCAAAATAACAAAAACTTTATTCTTTTTAAAAATTATGTTGATGTTAATATTAATTGAGAGAAATATATTTATAACACTACCAGTTATAATCACCGAGCTTAACAAATAATAGAATCGTGAGCTATGTTGATTAGTAACTTGTTGTGAATAATTGCTGAGCACTGCAGAAAAATTACGCTATGTATTTACAAAAATAACTTTATCAAGTTTAATGTTCTGTTGATACCTCTGAAAAATAAAAGATTTTCTTTCTACATAAATGCACACTCAAACATTACATATAGATCTTACTTCTTTCTTTACTCGTAACTCGACGTCTTTCACGTGACTATCAAGCTCTTCTTCCAACCTATGAAGATGTTTCTCGTGTTCTTTCTTCTCCCTGAAACATTAAAAAAACACTATTTTCATGTGTGATATTTCTGTCATAATCACTCAATGGATCTTGAGCATCTCCAATAGCGCTAATTCACATTTTGAATTGTTAGCTCGAAGAGCGAGAATATACAGCTAATAATATTTAAAATTACATATATGATGAACATACAGCTATTAATCTTTAAAATTACATATATGATGA